ATTTTGAGAAACAGTGCTCTAAACCCACATATCCCACTTTTATCAATCTATGTCACTTAAATGCTTATGAACATCTTCTAAAACTGGGGTATCTAGAGGATGGAAGCCTCCATTAACCCTAGTGTGGTAATGTTAATCAGGCTGCACTGTTCCTAAGATCTAATAAAAGCAGCAGTAGTGAACAAATTGAATGAGGTATGTTTAAGAATGCAGAACCTTGAAGGAGAATGAGGCCTGATAAGGACACAGGCAGAGAGCAATAAGAAGCCACTGAACCTTTTGCAATAAAAAGGAAGTACACAAAGGATATATAGGCCTGAGGAACCCAGGTCATTCCTCATGTCATTAGATAGCATCTTGCCCTGTATCTAGAGGCAACTTTCACCATGCTGCATCTCATACCAGAACCTGGCTCAAAGCACAGCACTGGGAGAGAAGTGATGGTGATGGCATTACAAATAATAGAGAAGCAAAGAAATAGCAATGGGGAGTAGGGGAGAAGGCAATTCCCACATTGCTCTTGGGGCCATATATGGCCTCGCTGACATTTAAGATAATCTAAGACACAACTTTCAGTGTCAATACTATCTTAAGGAGGCTCATAGTTTTGTGTATGCTTTGTTGCAATTCTGGATAATACTTCAGAAACCTGGGATTTGAGTGCTGATGGGAAGAACTTGTTTAAAGTATGAAAGGATCTCAATTTCCTTGTAAGACATGGAATGAAGATATTCTGGCTACCATGCCCTACCCTAATAACAGAGTGTCACCTCCTTGCTATTAAAGGTTTATTGATTTTCAAATCCAAGTAATCTGAAATTGCATACTATTTTAAATGAAGATGCATATCCCAGAATATCTCAAACTTAGATGATCCCTCTACTCTCAACTGCAAATGGAAAAATAAAGGAAAAGTTTTGAGAGCTGGTATGGCAGAGACCAGATCTCTGTGATTATAGGAAGTCTTGTCTTTAACAAGATATGTTAATAGGTTCAACTTTTCCAAAGGAAGCTAAGAAATGTTATAGCATGCCCATAGTTACAGAAATTTTTGTGACTTCTTCTGTAGGGGAACCTGTAGCCACGCCTGCTTAGGGGCTGGCTACACGTCTGCCTGACCATGCCCTTGAGCGCAACATTCTTCCTTTAAAGTCAGTGGCTTTATACCAAAAAACACTAGCATTGGCAATACTGTTCACGAGAACATGAACACAGTTTATTGCCTCATCATACAATTGACCACCCTTTCCATGTAACACATTTTTGCCCAGAGTTATTAGGGAGACTTCGTTTTAAATTCAATAGCTATAAGAAGAAGAAAGGGTAGTGGCCACTATTGCTATCTGATAGCCAAACAAAACTCTCCGGAAGAAAAATCATTGATGTAGGAGCAGTAAGATTTCACACATTGTGCCCAATGGTTCCAAATACAGTCTTTATACATTGAGTAATGGAGGACCAGGGGGAGCAAGCAGTAACCTAGCCTCCTAAAGATGCATTAGTCTCTCATTTAAGGAAGTCTTAATTTATCAAACTATTTCCCACAGTAGCACCTCAACAGTGGCAATGTCAATTGGCCATTTTACATAACCCTGTATTAATATTCTGCTTTGAAAGACCCTGTTCCACTTTCTGGGGATCTGACTTGAT